AAGTATTCATACCACTTCACTTTTTCCACATTTTGTTATTTTATAGCCTTATTCCAAAATGGATTAAATTCTTTTTCCCTCAAAAATTCTACACAAAATACCCCATAATGACAAAGTGAAAAACTTTTTTTAGAACATTTTGCAAATTTATTAAAAATAAGAACACTCAAATGTTAAATAAAAAAATAAATAAGTATTCACACCCTTTACTCAGTACTTGGTCGAAGCACCTTTGGCAGCGATTACAGCCTCTAGTCCTCTTGTGTATGATGCAACAAGCTTGGCACACCTGGATTTGGGGAGTTTTACCCCATTCTTCCTTGCACATCCTCTCAAGCTCAGTAAGGTTGGATGGGCAGCAAGAGTGCACAGCTACTTTCAGGTCTTTCCAAAGATGTTCAATTGGGTTCAAGTCTGGGCTCTGGCTGGGCCACTCAAGGACATTCAGAGACTTGTCCTGAACCCACTCCTTTGTCTTCTTGGCCGTGTGCTTAGGGTCATTGTCATGCTGGAAGATGAAGCGTCGCCCCAGTCGAAGGTCTCGAGCGCTCTGGAGCAGGTTTTCATCAAGGATTTCGATGTACTTAGCTGCATTCATTTTTCCCTCGATCCTGACAAGGATCCCAGTTACTGCCGCTGAAAAACATCCCCACAGCATGATGCTGCCACCACCATGCTTCACTGTAGGGATGGTATTGGCGAGGTGGTATGTGGTGCCTGGTTTCCTCCAGATATGACGCTTGGCATTCAGGCCAAAGAGTTCGATCTTCGTTTCATCAGACCAGGGAATTTTGTTTCTCCTGGTCTGTGAGTCCTTCAGGTGCCTTCTGGCAAAGTCCAAGCGGGCTATCATGTGCTTTTTACTGAGGAGTAGCTTCTGTCTGGCCACTCTACCATAAATGCCTGACTGGTGGAGTGCTGCAGAGATGGTGGTCCTTCTGTAGGGTTCTCCCATCTCCTCAGAGGAATGCTGGAGCTCTGTCAGAGTGACCATCGGGTTCTTGGTCACCTTCCTAACCAAGGCCCTTCTCGCCCACTTGCTCATTTTGGCTGGGCGGCCAGCTCTAGGAAGAATCCTGGTGGTTCCAAACGTCTTCCATTTCTTAACGATGGAGACCACTGTGCTTTTTGGGATCTTCAATGCAGCAGATATTTTTCTGTAACTTTCCCCAGATCTGTGTGCCGTTACAACCCTGTTTCGGAGGTCTACAGACAATTCTTTCAACTTCATGGCTTGGTTTGTGCTCTGACATGCTCTGTCAGCCGTGGGATCTTACATAGACAGGTGCGGCTTTCCAAATCATGTCCAATCAGCTGAATTTGCCACAGGTAGACTGCAATCAAGTTGGAGGAACATTTCAAGGCTGATCAGTGGAAACAGGGTGCACCTGAGCTCAATTTTGAGTTTTATAGCAAAGGGTGTGATTACTTATGTATATGCAACATTTGAGTGTCTTATTTTTAATACATTTGCAAAATGTTCTAAAAAAAAAAAAAGTTTTTCACTTTGTCATTATGGGGTATTTTGTGTAGAATTTTTGAGGGAAAAAAGGAATTTCATCCATTTTGGAATAAGGCTGTAACATAACAAAATGTGGAAAAAGTAAAGTGGTATGAATACTTTCCGGATCTCCTCACCATTTAAATCTGTTCTTACTCCTCCCCATAAAGTGCTATATGTAATAAAATCCCCACACACCACTACCCTATTACCATCCACCCCTTCAATGTTAGTTCTTATTCAATTTTAGCTTCTCACATGGATTATAATGATTGATTATTACAAACTCTCCCTCTCTTGACCATATCTCTATCATGACATATTCTTGCTCATTTCCTATACTCATCTTTCTAAATGCTATATCCTCTCTTATAAATGTTGCACATCCTCCACCTGCACCCTCCCTCCTATCACAGAAGCATATCCAACAATTCAAAAATCCAAATTAGGTCTAAACTATGTTTCCTGCACACAAATGACATCTGGCTTACTCACAAAATCATCAATATGCTTTTAAAATTCCTGTCCATTTTCCAACAAGCTTCTTGCGTTCTACTGTAAAAGCACAACCATTATTAAGCCTGACCAACCCCTGGCTGCTCCTGGCTTGCTTGGTTACTTACATCTTTCTAAGTAACCAAGCAAGAGATCTAAGTGGTAAACTGCTGCCTTTTCTGTTAAAGAAGCCCCTTTATTGTGGTGTATATACAAAAAAAGCTTTTGATGTCAGTCAATAGATATTAGATATTGATGGCATTTGGAAATATAACAATATTGCTGTGTTGTGTTATGTCCGTGTAGTCAACATTTTAAATTTTCTGAAAGAGCGGCCCGCTCTTTCTGGCTGTAAACAAAGCAATTTTCCGCCTTCCCCAACCTGGTTGGTTGTTTGGTAGATGCTGCTTTTTAGTGCTGATTGGATGTGAGGCAGATGCTGCTCCCTCATGTTGTGAGGCACACTCCACGAATAGTGTTCACAAGCCCAAAGAAGTTAGCGTGCTACAATATCGGACAGTAGAAACCAACCAGAAAGTACAGAAAATAGTCTGAATCCTCTTTGGCCACTACTGTCAACACAAGCAATAAAACAAAGGAAATACAGAGACTGGCAGAATAACAGGCGCTTAAAACGGAAGTTGACCGGACAAGAGCTAAGAAGTCGGGTCAACATAAAACAATGGAGAACACTTCAGGATCATACGGACCCTGTAACCTCTCTGCTGGACAGGTAAACCGCTTTGACGAAGTAAGCTGAATGTCTATGTCACTTTATCCTAGTTGTAGAAGTCCTGCAAACATTGTGTTTGCTGGTAGTCTGTTGGCATCTATAGTAGCACCAATGCTTTATACTTACACATTGACTGGGCCCTATTTGTAATTATCTTAAGTATTTATCTGCATTATCTGAATTTAATTACAACGATACGAGCGAGGACGAGCGTCTGTTTGTGGACGGGGCTTGCAGATCCTGCCTACCCTACCTTTAACCTTTATTGTAGCATTTACTACACCTGCTATGAAAGTAACAAGTTTCTTTATATCAACTAATTACTTTTCCTCCATCTGTCTGATTTGATTCCTTTGTAGGTTCCTCTCCTTTCCTCAGTTCCTTCACTTTGCCTCACCATCCTTGCTGCTTCTGCATACATTACCTTATTCTGGACACATTTGTTGTATTGCAATCTCTCTTTTCATCACTACACATCCTCCATTAAAGCAGTTCTGTGAGGACAAGCTGACATCAACTCTGGCATAGCGTCTGGGTTCTCTGCATCTGACTCTGACCCAACAGGGCCCCCTCCTAAACTTTGGCTCAGCAGTTCAGGGGGTGAAAGTTTCCTGATTGCTGGTTCTGGGAAGACTGCCTATGGTTAGCGGTAGTAGTAACAGATGAGGCTAGAGGAGCTGGAGGCCTAACTCTCTCCCATCACACTCCCTCGCAAAGTGACCAGGTTTCTGACACCTGCGGCAAGTCACTGACTGTTTACCCTTACTGAAAGTAGAACTGGGAGCATTCTGGATTGCATTTAAACAACTACTTTGTTGGATTTAACTGTTCCTGCTGCATTTTAACATCTCTTTCAATTCAAACTGGAGTCTGGGTTACCTGACCCTGAATGAAGACCTCCTGTCTGAGCAAACTGAAAACCTGCAGCAGATGGGACAGAGTAGCTCTGGCCTCTATCACCCCCTGGCACTCCCTCTCACTCCCACCTGATGGTCTCGCTGCGGACATCAAGCAAAGTAGCAACAGGTTGATGCCTGATAAGCCATTTTGACTCCTTGAATAGGGCACAGTTAAAAACATGCTCAACAAATTGGTCACGCAATAATACACCAGAGTTTGGAAGGCCATTAGGATCATTTGTTACAACTTTGTCCATCAAACACATTAAAGGCTGAGAAAATTCTTGGAACATCTCTTCCTCCTGTTGCTTTCTTGAGAAAAAGTCTTCCTGCAGAGAAACATATGATTTAGAACATGCATACAACTCCTGCAATATATCAAGGATTTTCTCTGGATCCTCCCTCTCCTCTCTAGGCTGATTCTTGATTTTCTCTAAAGCTTCACCATCTAAAAAGTCATAAATGAACAGAGGCTTGTCAACACTGACTGGAGAAATGACGTGCACGCATACTTTAACCTCCATCTTTAACCTCCATCCATTCTGAAATGTTTAAACCTATTCTATCTCTAAACATAGGACATTCCTTGTGGACATAAACCAGTCACTCAATCACTGGAAGAGGGGGGCTGGTTAGAAGAGTCTGTGACTGGTGCGACACTGGTACTGGGTGAAGCCTCCCGCAGCTTGGGGTTGTGCCACCAATTTCTTTAACTGGGTCAGTTCTTTCACTATAACTGAGAAGGGAACCCAGAGCAGGTGAGGCGAGCAGAGAGTAGTGCTTGTAGCAAGGATGCCTGTAGAATCAGCTGCTGTATGTCTGCTTTCTCAAATGCTAACCAAACCTTACACAATGCTAAACTGTCTTAAAAATGAACCAACTGGTATTTAAAAAAAAGAAAAAAGGAACACACGTCTCTGCTCTGCCGGCAACGCCAGAATGTGACTGTGTGGGAGAAAGGACAATTTCAGGCTTATGCTAACGTCATCCAGCAACGCAACCTAGGGACTTTCACCCAAGGAATTTACCTGATTTTAACCATTCATTCAGAAAAGGCTAACACAGGTTCGAAATTCTACAAGACAGAGACATGGTTCAAAGCAAGTCAAAATTTTTATAATATTTAAATGTAAAAATGCTTGGACCTGGAAGTGTCTGTTGAAAGAAACAAAAAGGAGTTAGTGGTGAAATGGTAATAAAAGTCTGAGTCTGTTATTGAATAAGTTGATTGGAAAAGTTAATTAAAAATGATTCTTCTAACAATTAAATCAATAAAACACTTCCAGATAGTTAAAGCTAACAAAAGGGAAGGGGGCAGTGAGTGGGCGCCAGCAAGAAGGAGGCAGTCTACCAAAGGAAATGTCTCAGGAGTGCACTTACCCACCACACGTGAACTCATTGCAAATCACTACAAACACTGCAAACCGGTGTAGACTATGGTTCCCCAATGCGCCTACCACTGCAACAAAAAGGTGTGGGGAACCACCCAACGTACCTAGCCTCCACTGCTAGCCAGCCATCACCGCACTGTAGGAGATGATAAAGAAAGAGTTATACAAAAGAAAAGCTGAAAACTATGTAAAAAACCCAATTGGTTCTGCTAAAATGTCTCTTTAATCACAATCACTAAAATGCTAACAGAACAAAACAAAAAAAACTCTAAAAGACAACAACAACAGGATCTAAAAAGGCAAAAACAAAACAGCAGCTGATTGAGTCTGCAAACAAGAGACAGAAATTATCCCTTGATTGAAGGAAGGGATTGGCTGCAGATAAAAACAGATTTTTTTGCAGTCTTTGAGAACTATTAAAATCACACTTCAATACCTGTGACTGCTGCTTGGAGGTGTTGTTGGTGCTGACATGGATCATGATGTTCGTGACATGAGGATGTTTACGCACGAGAGCCGGGATTGGTTGGACCAAATCCAGGACCTTTGCATCAGCGAAGCAGTATGTTATTGGCGATTTTGTTCTGATTCTCCTGGCAAGCAGCCGGGATGTGGTAGTGGTTGGGTTACTCTGAAAGGGAAGCATAGCAGCAGGCCTAAGAAGCCCACGTTAGACCACCATATTCACATTTCAAACAAATTTGCCCCTCTCAGCAACACACCTGCTGAGCCCGACGCTCTTGTGATTGAAGACTCTGTAGTCCGAAATGTGAAATTAGCAAAGTCAGCGGCCATAGTTCAGTGTTTTCTGGGGGCCAGAGCGGGCGACATCGAAGGTAGTTTAAAACTGCTGGCAGATTGTAATACATGTTGGCGTTAATGACTCCCGGTGCCGCCAGTCGGAAGTCACTAAATTGAACGTGCAATCGGTGTGTGAATACACCACAACCATGTCAGACTCTGTAGTATTCTCTGGTCCCCTGCCCGATCAAACAACTGATGAGATGTGTAGCGGTATCTTATCATTCAACCGCTGGTTGTCGAGGTGGTGTCCGCAAAATGGTGTGGGCTTCATTGATAATTGGAAGTCGTTTTGGGGCAAGCCTGGTCTGATTAGTCGGGACGGCATTCATCCCACTCGAGATGGAGTAGCCCAGGCAATAAATAATCTGGCCTAATATCGGCGTAATATAATCTGGCTGATTATTTTAGGCCGAACCACTGACAATTCAAAGCAGAGATCAGGGAGCAGAGCCACAGTTCTACACGCCCCTTTTGTTAGGGCAGCCTCCTAGCTACTATCACTTTATTTAGAGACTGTGTCTGTCCCTTGTCCTCGGCACTTTAATTCTAACCGATCGATTAACAAAGGAGTAAATAACAAGAACCTTACTAGAATTAAAACTGCTAACATAGCTGAACCGAGTAGCAGTAAGATAAAATGTGTGTTGTGAATCAACTTTGTGATTTTCTTCATAACAACGGTTTATTGGAGGATTTCCAGTCTGGATTTAGAACCCATCACAGCACAGAGACTGCTCTGCTGAAGGTGACAAATGACCTACTCGTGGCTTCGGACAGTGGTCTTCTCTCTGTTTTTGTCCCGTTGGATCTTAGTGCTGCGTTTGACACGATCGACCACCGCATCCTGCTTCAGAGACTGGAACAATCTATCAGCATAGCAGGATCCACTCTTTCCTGGTTTAAATCTTATCTAACAGATCGATCCCAGTTTGTCCATGTTAATAATGAATCCTCTGCGCACACCAAGGTCTGCTTGGGAGTCCCGCAAGGGTCAGTGCTTGGACTGATCCTCTTTACCTTGTACATGCTTCCTCTGGGTAAAATTATGAGGAAGTACTCGATTAACTTCCACTTTTATGCAGATGACATCCAGTTATACTTATCCATGAAGCCAGAAGAAACAAATCAGGTTACCAAATTAGAAGCTTGTCTCATAAAATCCTGGATGACCAATAACTTTCTGATCCTAAACTCAGACAAAACTGAAGTTCTTGTCCTCGGTCCTAAACACCATAGAGAGGCATTTTCTAAAAATATAGCTACGCTAGATGGCATCAGTCTGGCATCCAGCCCCATACTACGAAATCTGGGAGTTTTATTTGATCAGGATTCGTCCTTTAGCTCCCACATTCAACAAATCTCTAGGATAGCTTTTTTCCACCTGCGCAATATCTCAAAAATTAGACCATCCTGTCTCAGAGTGATGCAGAAAAACTAGTCCATGCCTTTGTTACCTCTAGGCTGGATTACTGTAATTCTCTCTTATCAGGCTGCTCCAATAAGTAAAATGCAGCAGCTCGGGTATTGACTAGAACCAGAAGAAGGGAGCACATCTCTCCTGTCTTAGCCTCTCTTCATTGGCTCCCTATTAAATCTAAAATTGAGTTTAAAATCCTCCTCATCACATATAAAGTGCTTAATGGCCAGGCTCCATCATATCTCGACGAGCTTGTTATACCTTACTACTGTCTAGACCGTTACGCTCACAGTCTGCAGGTCTGCTCGTTGTACCAAATGTCTCTAAAAGCAGTATTGGAGGAAGAGCTTTCAGCTATCAGGCACCTCTCCTCTGGAATCATTTACCGCTTGAGGTTCGGGGGGCAGACACCCTCTCAACTTTCAAGAGTAGACTTAAAATGTTCCTCTTTGATAAAGCTTATAGTTGGGGCTGATTTGAACCAGCTCTTAGTTATGCTGCTATAGGTTTAGACTGCCGGGGTTATCTGGCACACTGAGCTAGAGTCTGTCTCTATCTCTCCTTTAGATCTTTATGTCCCATATAAGTCACTAACCAGATTTCTCTCTCTCTGAGTGTCTCTAAGTCTCTTAGCTTCCCCTTGACTAATGCTGCAGACAGTCTGCTGTAGAACTGCCTGACCCCAGCTGCATCATCTCTGATTGTCCACCTCAGGCTCTGAGCTCCTCCATCTCTTAGGCTCCTCTGGACCGTTGCTGCAGACATGTACGTCAGCTTAACTGACATCTGACATCAGAGATGATGTAACCCAACACACATAACTGTCAAGGAGAAGTTGTGTTGTCCAGATTTTGAACTGTTGGCAGTTGCTCTCCGGCCATATTATGTTCCAAGAGAATTTAGTCATATCATAACCGTAGTTGTTTACATTCCACCCAAATCAACTGAAGAATGTTGCAATGTTTTGCAAAATAGTGTTGCCAGGCTACAGACTCAGCACCCTGAGGCACTAATAATAATATTGGGAGACTTCAACCATGTCACCCTCTCCTCTCACCTGACTGGATTCACTACCAGAGAAAACAAAACCCTGGATCTGCTGTATGCCAACGTCAAAGAAGCCTAGAGAGCCACTGCCTTACCACCACTGGGCAAGTCAGATCATAACTTGGTCTATCTCCAAACCTGTTACTGACCTTGTGTGCTGAGGCAGCCTGTGACCAAAGTCAAAATAAGAAGATGGACACCTCAAGCCAGTGAAGCTCTAAGGGACTGTTTTAAATCAACAGACTGGAATGTGCTGCTGGAAACAGATGTGGATAGTATGAACATTGATAAACAGGTTGACTGCTTTACTGATTATGTCAACTTCTGTAGAGACACAGTTATACCCACAAAAACTGTTCGCTGTTTCCCCAACAACAAACCCTGGATCACAAGAGACATAAAAGCAATCCTTAGCCAGAAAAAGAAAGCTTTTAAAGATGGTGACAAAGAAAAACTCAAACAAGTGCAACAAGAGTTGAAGAGGAGACTGAAGATGGCAAAGCTGGAGTACAAAAATAAGATAGAGAATAATCTACAACACAGCAACATCCGTGAAATGTGGGGGGGAATTAGTACCCTCTCTGGACACAGCAGTCAAAAGAAAAGACAGCCAGTGGTGGGTGATGTGGAAAGAGCTGATGAGCTCAACCTGTTCTTCAACAGATTTGACACTGCTGTCACTCCCACTTCCACTGCTACTCCACCTTCCTCTTCACAACAAATCTCCACTACAACTTCTCCCCTTCCTCCTCCATCTCATTCAAATGTTTCAACCACTTCAACTGCCTCCCTCCTAGAGCACCAGTCCTTGTCTGTCACCGAAACAGGGGTGAGGATGGAGCTTGGAAGACTTTGTCCTGGGAAGGCAGCTGGTCCAGATGGTGTATGTCCAAGGCTGCTTAGAGATTGTGCTGCAGAACTGTGTCAACCTCTCCACAAGATCTTCAACCTGAGTCTACAGCTGGGACGGGTACCTGCCCTGTGGAAAACATCCTGCATTGTGCCGGTACAAAAAAAAAATGTCCTGCTGAACTCAATGACTACAGACCAGTGGCCCTCACTTCACACATCATGAAAACCCTGGAGCGGCTGATTCTACGCCTTCTGAGGTCTGAGGTCAAAGACAAACTGGACTCCCTGCAGTTTGCATACAAAGAACACACTGGAGTGGATGATGCTGTCCTCTACATGCTTCACCGTGCCCTGTCTCATCTGGAGGAACCTGGGGTTTATGTGAGGATCATGTTCTTCGACTTTTTAAGTGCATTCAACACCATCCAACCCACCATACTCAAAGACAAACTCACAGAGATGGGAATAGATCCTTCCTGTGTTTCCTGGATCACAGATTACCTGAAAGGAAGGCCACAGTTTGTCAGGCTGGGGAACTGTGTTTCTGGGACATTAATGAGCAGTACAGGGGCTCCACAAGGGACAGTGCTGGTGCCATTCCTGTTCACACTGTACACGTCAGACTTGCCTGCCACATCCAGATATACTCAGATGACACCGCTATTGTGATATGTATCAGAAATGGACAAGAAGCTGAATACAGAGATCTAATAAGAGCCTTCAGTGACTGGAGTCACAAAAACTGCCTCCTCCTCAACACCTCAAAGACAAAGGAGATGGTCATAGACTCCCATAGATCCAAACCCCCTCTTCAGCCAGTGAACACCTGTGGAGTGGACATCGAAGTGGTGACATCATATAAATACCAAGGTGTACATCTGGATAATAAGTTGGATTGGTCTAAGAATATAGACTACATCTACAGAAAGGGGCAGAGCCGCCTCTCTTGCCTGAGAAGACTCCGATCAATAGACATCATAGAAGATGCTGCAGATGTTTTATCAGTCTGTGGTGGCAAGTGTTCTGTTCTACACTGCAGTCTGCTGGGGAGGAAGCATCCATCACAAAGATGCAAGACGTCTTAACAAACTGGTGAAAAAGGCTGGCTCTGTGGTAGGATTCAAGCTGGACTCAGTGTAGGATGTGGTGGAGAGATCTACACTGAGGAAGGTGGAGTCTATTCTAAAGAACATGGATCACCCACTTAACAACACTTTGATGGACCAAAGGGCAAATGGTGGTGGATGGCTCCTCTCTCTTCGCTGCAAGACAGAAAGATTTAGAAGATCTTTTGTACCAACAGCCATCAGGCTTTTTAACTCTTATGTAAGTAATAGATAACTTTTATAGACATATTACGTGAGGCAACAGACAATTGAATTTCCTTTCGGGGATCAACAAAGTTCTTCTTATTCTTATCAATAAAATAAAACTAGAGTAAACTGCCATTGAGTTTTAACTTTAACATAGTCCATAATTAGTTACTTCATTATCCTGTACATTGAAGTCATTTTCTCCCATCAAATTGCCAACCAGATCTCTCTGTATGTCTCTGAGCCCCAGTCTCCTAGGTTGCTCTGG